AAAAAAAAAAAGAACACATTTGGAGGCTGGCCAGATGGCTTAGTGGATTAAAGCACCTGCGTAGGCAGACCCAGGGGCTGGGGTTCGATCCGGGCCTGCCATGCTGGCCCCGCCCCTGAGGTGCGCGGAGACAGTGACTGAGACTGGCTGTGGTGGTGCGACTGGCTGTGGTGGTGCGCGCCTATAATCCCAGCTCTTGGGAGGCTGAAAACAGGAGGATCACTACGAGTCCAGTCTGTGTAGTGAGACCCTGGAGACCCTGTGCTAAATACATTACAGAAAAATTCAGGCAGCTTCATGCTTATAATGCACTTTGTGCAATGAAATAAACTTTTAAAAAAATTGTAATATAAAGAATAATAACTTATCATAAAGGACAAGTGAGAATATCTGAGGAAATGCTGAAAGAGAATAGGAAAGAATGATATTGGTACAAGAACAGGAATGATTTAAAAGTTTCCAGCTGTTTAAAAACATCTCCATGTATCTCTCTCTCTCTCTCTCTCTCTCTCTCTCTCTCTCTCTCTCTCTCTCTCTTTCTCTCTCTCTTCTTTTCTTTTCTTTTCTTTTCTTTTGAGACAGGGTCTCACTCTGCAGTTCAGGCTGGCCTTGTGCACTGGCCTCACACTGGTAGAGATCCTGCTGGCTCAACCTCCTGAGTGCTGGGATTACAGGCATGCACACCCAGTTCCTCCAAGTATTTCTTAAAAGGATGAGGGGGAATATTAAATTGATGTGACACTCAGAGTTAGTTGCTGCTAGTTGACAGCAGTACATAAAAATGTCACTTTACAATATGTCAGAAATTACATCCACTGAGACTTAGTTTCTGGTGAAAAACTTTATAAGTCAACTCCAAAAATGTGTTGGAGGAGCATACTGTTTTTTAAACTTTTTTTCAGGAGAAAAGTGAGCAAGGCTAGTTCAAGGCCATTTGTGTTGTGAATGAGCACTACTTACTTTTAAGCAATAAAGCACTTCTTGTTATGGAACGGATCATTTATTTATTTTAAAAAATCTTTTATTTATTTGGTACAAGGTCTCGCTACGCGGTTCCAACTCATAGTGATCCTACTGTCTCAGCTTCCCCAGAACTGGGCTTACAGGCATGTGTCACCACACCTGATTTTGGTGGCTGGCTCAGCACAGGGCCAGTACAGCATGTGGTACTGGGGATCGAACCTGGGACCTTGTGCTTGCCAGTCAGGTGCAGGGACCACCAAGCTATCTCCCTAGCCCTGGAATGGATTATTTAAAAGGGAGAAAAGACTCCAGATTTAAGGTCTGGGGTGTTCTACCAATTACTTTCATATGACATGCCTTTCCCCAGTAAGAAGGCAAAAGTATGGGAAAAAGAAAGATACAGCAATAACCTTCATTAAAAAAAAAAAAAATGTACAGTGGTACTTCAACCCACAAATTCAATTTGTTTAAGATTTTGAGGAATGTGGCTCTATTTGGGTTTGTGTGGAGAAAGATGGCCACAGTTGTATTTGCCAGCTGAGGTGGAGCTTGTGAACAGAAGCAAAATTTTGTTGAATACTTTTGTTTGTGAACCACATTGTTTGGGAACAGAAGTGTTTGTGAACCGAGGCATTACCATATGTGGAAATATTTGGCAGATAGCCTAAGGGTACTGCTCCTAACGAGAAGCTGCATCAGAAATAAAAAAAGAAGTGTATATAATTAAGTGTATTTATCTTCTCAGTAATCATTACTTAGATTGTTTGTTTACTTATTTAATGTTACTTTGATTCTTTTGTGTCCTTGAATAAAGCAGAGATTAATATATCTTTTCTGCAAAAGGCTAAGGACTAAATACTTTCAGCTTTATGGGGCATGTAATCTTTGGCTTGGTTGCTGCTCAGCACGCAGGGGTGGGGTGGGGGTAGGGGTGAGTCTGGGGGATCGAACCTTGGTCCCTGCACTTGGCTAAGCAGGTGCTTAGACTGCTGAGCTATCTCACCAGCCTGCATTGCAACTACTGAACTCTGCCAATTGTAGGGAGAAGACAGTCATTGGCATTTCACAGAAAAGGATGGTCGCCCCATGTCAGTAAAACTTTCCTTGTGGATGCTGAATTTTAAATTTTGGGGGGCTTCCAGGTTAGCTCAGTTGTTTAAAGTACCTGCTTGGGCAAACTCAGTCCGGTGCACGGGACCGTGCTTGGATTCCCAGCTCCACATGCTGTACAAGGTCTGCACTTAAGGCAGCCTGAGTCAGCAAAAAACAAACAAACAAACAAACAAACAAAAAAAAAAAACCTTCTAAATTTTGTATGCCAGGGAATATTCCTTTGATTTTTGTGAGAGGGGTAAAAACATTCTAAGCTCACAGGCTGTGCAAAAGCAGGCAGTAGACCAGTTTGGACCTGCAGGTAATAGTTCGCCAGACTCTGGTTTTATAACAGTGTTTAAAGTTCCCTTTATCTTGAAGAGTAAGCATGGTATTAGAAGAACACACAAGAAATTGGCCACTGTGATTGCATTTTGATAAGCATGCTTGGTGGCTGACTGACCTGGGAAGACTTATTTGCAGGGCACAGTTGCACCCGTGCAACGTGTGCCGCAGCTGGCTGTGGTGTGGGTGCGTTCTGCAAGGGTTCATGCGCCGGGGCTTGGTCCCCCAGTGTCAGTGTCCAGAGGTGGTGGAACCATTCAGTGGCATCTCGTGGAAGGTAACTGGGTCACATGAGGTAGCACGTTCAGAAGGAATTAATGCTTGTTAGCAAGGTGGGTTCGTTCACCCCAGAGCAGGTTGTTACCAAGCAAGGCCAGTCCATGCAGTTGGCCTCTTCCGTGTGGGCTGTTTCCCATTCTATTTCTCTGCCGTGTGTCCTGGAGTCCTGGGGCCATGTTCCTGCCACCAGAATCATGAGAAATTACCCAGCCTCAGGAATTTGTTTTGGCAAACACAAAACAGACCAGTGCCAGGCACTTGTGTGGCCAAGCATGAAGAAGTCCCTTTTTTTCAGAGCCTCTTCAGGAATTGTGAACCTGAATCTGGTTCAAGCAGGCTCTGCCGTCTGGCCACAGAGAGCTCAGTCCTTAGCCTTTCAGGAGCACCACCCTGGTGGGTCTCCAGCCACGGATGAGGACCGCATGCGGCAGAACTAGGAGACCTGGACTTTCCTTAGGGCGTGTAAGTGGTAAGTTACGTCCTCAGATCTGTGCGGCAGGAGGATGAAATCCCGATGCCATCTCTCTGGGCAGAGCGCGCCTGATGCCATGGAATTTGACAGAACTAAGCAAGGGCACAACAAACGCAGATAAATAAGGCAAGTGATTGTTATGTGCCAGGCGCTCGGATTCAAGGCACCGCGTGTATGTGAACATATGTAGGGAAACACATCGCAGGAATCCAAAACGGAGAAGGCTAGTCTTAGAAAATGTTAGAGCGCTGTAACGGGCTGCGGAAGAACGGGGGCGCGGCACAGACACTGCTTCGGGGTGCGCTGATGGCTGCTGGGTGCAGCGGGCCGGCTCCGTCTCAGCCGCTTTGGAGGCTCGGAGGACCGCTGATCGCCGGGGGGCACGGCCACCTGGGAGACAGCTGAGAGCGGCCTCTGAAAAGCCATAACTGTGAGGAAAGGGGACGCACAAGCACCCACGTCCTGGCCTCCCTGTGTCTTCAGATGTGTTCTAGTGTTGCTCGCTGTTAAAGATTGTCTTGAGCAGAATGCTTAATCTGTATTGGGAGGAGAGGGGAGAAGGAAAGAAAGAAAGGACAAGGAATAAAGAAATGAGGAAAGAAGGAAAAAAAGGGAAACAAGGCTTTTGTAAACGGGGGGGGGGACTGGGGGAGGAGCGGTTGAAGGGAGGAGAATGGGAAAAAAGAATCAAGTTCTATCATGTGCAGGTACAAATTCTCTACGATGGAAGCAATCCCTACGTATGTCTAAAATGTACCAATAAAATCTGACTTGGAGGGGAAAATTGCTCTTGAAACTATGTCTTCCTTCAGCTACTTCTGCATCCCTTGTGTCCCTATCTTTGCTCCCTGTCAAAGCACATGCCAATCAGCTTGCTGTCTCGGTGACAAAACACCAGAGGATAGCGACTCAAAGGAACAAAGACTCATTTCAGCTTGTGGTTTCAGCCCATGATGGGCGGGCTCCGCTGCCCTTAGGCTTGCGAAAATGCAGAAGTATCTCGGAGAAACGGGGTGGCAGAGGTGTGGTTGCTCACCTCAGGGTAGCCAGGAATGAGAAGGGAAGCGGGCAAAAGTGCCAGAGAAGAAAGGGCTGAGGTCTGCGCCACACAGACCCTTTGGGGTCAGCCACCTTACCCATCCCCCTTAGCCAGGCCCCGCCTCCTAAGGTTCATCACTTCCCAATAATGCATCAACTTGTGAGTCTATCAATGACGAATCCAGAGGTGAGGTTAGAGCCCTAGGATCCAACTGCCCTCAAAAACCCCATCAGTGGGTGATTGAGCCCCAGCACATAGCTTTAGGGAAAAGAGCTGGAAACCATGTACAGAAAATAGCTTGGGAAAAGATTCTCTGATAGCTCCCCTTTTTAATATTCAGCCTTTCAAGTGACTTCTTAAGGAAGTGGAAAACATCACAGAAAAGAAAGGAAAACAAAAAGACCCAGAGCTATAGCTCAAAGTGAACACTGCTTCTCTTGGGTTTATTCTGGAAATTTCTTTCTTTTGTATTTTAGGGAAGGGTCTACAGGGTGTTCAGGGTCTCACTTCTAGATCAGACTCATAGTGATCCACCTGTTTACAGCCTCCCAAGAGCTGGGATTACAGGCGTGCATCACCATGCCCAGTCTCAATTGCTGTCTGAGCACACCCTGGGGGCAGGGCTGGCACGGCAGGCCTGGGGATCGAACTTCTGACCCCTGTGCCTGGTTGCAGGTGCTTTAATCAGCTGAGCTATTTGGCCAGCCCTTGACAATTTCTTTAGGATACAACTTGAGACATTTTGGTATAACCTACCATTATTTTTCTTTCTACTGTCACCTCTTCTAACCCTAGACGGATGTGCAATCAAGGCAGACCAGTCATTATGATGCAAATCTTTGAAAATTCCCCTACAAAGCAGAAATGAAGATCTTGGAGAATACTTGTTGCATTTTTGATCTGTTGATATAATGCAGTCCAAAAAATTTTCAAAAGAAAGTATCTTTAAATCATTATGTATTTATAGACCTTTTCAACTTTCTGATCGAATTTAAGATAGCAAAGCATGGATTCATCCCAGTTTATTCCATTGCCTTTATATTTGTTTCTGATTTTTTTCTACAGAGAAGAAAAATAAAGAAGGGAAAGAAACTGCTCAAAGGGAAGGAACACTGGGATGAGGGGAAGGAGAAAAGAAAGAAGGACAAAAGAAATGTATATGTATATGCACAAGATAACTTGGATAATTGTACTGATGATTTCTGCTGGTCTATTGAAAAGGGCAGTTAATGCTTAATTTTTTTCTCTCTCCCTTTAAATTTGTAATAATTTTTTGAACACTTTTGCATGCTTATATCTGATAATCTGGACAACTGATTTGAAGACAACAGTATTCAATGTAACAACCATTGTTGGAATCCTATCATTTTGTTTAGTGAAATTCTGTGTTATTTCCAATGTTTTTTTTTTTACTAGTTTTTGATTCTCTTAAAAAAAAAACAAAAGTCAAAAGCAATCTAGCATGTAATATAGATGTGCAATAAACACTTACTGAATCAGTTAAAAAAAGAAATAGAGACATAATCAAAGTGTCACTCTACAATCCCCAAGTGCTGCAATTTAAATGAAAACATATGGCATTCTCTCAGATACATTAGATAGCATCTCTTCTTAAAGCATACATCTTACGCATTTTAAAGTCCACATATGGTGAAAAGATGATAAATATTGAGAGAAGATACATGTGGAAAGACGATGGGAAAATGCCTTCCCCAGAGCCACTTTGTCCTTTTGCAAACTCACTTGCTTGCCCCTCCTCTATCCCTCTTAACCACTCCCTCACCAGTTCTGTCATCATGAACTCCCTACTTATTTTCATTTCAGGGTTGGTATTTGAACACCACCTTAACAGAAGCGCATTCTCCAATTGCAAAGTTCTTATGGGATCAAGAATGAATCTCATGGAACACTCCCATTTACCAGCCATGGATGAATTCTCCCTTTTTGAAAATTTATTTGGTAAGTTATCAAGTTGATTTGAATATCAATAAGAGCAAACTGCCACCTGGAAATGCAGAAGAAAAACACCTAGAAAACGAGTCCAACAGAAAGTCAAGAGAATGTTTTCATTTGCTGTAAGTACTCAATAAATGTAAGCCACTCTGACAGGCTAGAGACAGATAGGACCTTGGATTCATTGAACCAGATGATCAATTTCTCCCTCTCTCTCTTTGTTTTAATAAATGAAGACTGCAGGAGTCCAAGAGCTTTGTGACTTTCCAAGGCCACATGGCTAGATAATTAACTGAGCTGGGAGTTGAAGCTGATTTCTGTTCTGGGACTAATTATAGTATTATTATAGCAGGTACTAAAATATAAAATCATGATTCTTAGAGGTTAATATTATACCTATTGAAGGCTGAGGTTACCCTGGCTACAGCTGTGCCAGAGCCTCCTCTCCTCTTCTGCTGGAATCTGTGGCACAGGGTCAGGATTAGTCACTAAGCCACATTGGGGACAAATTGTACTAAGTTGTTTTTAGTAGATCTGTAACCAGATAATATAAAATGATATATCACTCCACTGTATTTATGAAAACAGCTCATTATAAAGAGTTTTAGTTGAAAACATGAGCTAAAGAATCAGTGAGGAGCAATATTTTGGATGGGGCAGGGAGTCTTCTTACTGCTAAAAATGAGTCCTTTCTGTGTAAGAACCTATTGCAAGGTTAAGATGGTCAAAGTTCTCATCTGACATTAATATATGGACTTTGCTAAACTATAATAAGGAAAGCGCAAATACTGGAAATGTCACCAAGTTCAATGTGTTAGGACTTGATCTCTTCTTTGGTTTGCGATGTTCACAGAAGACATTCACTGCAATTTATACTATTCCCTACCAGTCATCACTACTTTAGTGTCCAGTGGTGCCCTTAGGTGTCAGTGAACGCAAAAGGCTCCAAAGGTTCTGTCGGGTAAGAAGGACCTGGAAAGCGACTGCCCAGGATGCACTGTGACTGTGCTGTCTATGTATGTGTCTAGCTCTCTCTGGTTCCATTGTTCTCTTATCCAGTTTCCTAACAGTGCACTGAAGATTTCTGAGATTGTAGAGCACACATGAGCTGTGATGCACAGCTGTTGTTCCCTGGCTGGCAGTGACTTGGTCCCTACTTAGGCCAAGCAAATCTGTACTATGTGTGACTCCTTCTCCTTGTCCTCCACTAAGCTCTGGAGCCAGGCCTTCACATTCTTTTAAAATCTCATGGCTTCAGGCTCACTGTGCTCAACATACCTGGGCTCTAAGAAGGCCAAAGGGAAGGGTGAAGAAAACTGATTCTTTTGTTCCTCTTCTTTGTCTGCTTGCGTGTCCTGATGACATGGGTGGATTCTACACTGATGGATTCCCTGAGTTGGGGTGGAGCTGACCAGGAGAGACACTGCAGCCTATGGATAAATGCCCCACAGAACTAAACTCAACACTCTTGGACCTTAATCTATGCCAGAGATTCAGAAGAGTTTATCTATGGCTTCAGCCAATCAGAAAGCTGAACTTTTCTCTAATGGTCTGTATCCTCAAGAACAGCAGCATTGTTGCCACAAATGCAAATGATGTTTATGGGAGAGCATACCACAGGTAGATATCGCCTCTCCCGTTCAAACGTGGAGCCCTCCTGGTAAGCTGGATGTCAGAATACAGCAGAGAGAAGATAGAGAGTGGACTCACGGTAGACACGTAACTAAATACATGAACCAAATAATGTCAGGTTGTGGCAAATGCTATGGAAACAAAATAAGGTGACACCACAGTTGCTGGAGGGATGGGCTGTCTTAACTGGGGTGCACAAGAAAGGCTTTGGAGGATTTGGCAGGTGAGCTGAGGCCAAAAGCCAGAAGTCAGTAATGTCCCAGGAGAGGGCAGTATCAGGTGCAAAGGCTCAAAGTTTAGAATGGACTTGTAAGGGCCTTGACTTTCCATTTTTATTTAGGGCAGCAGAAAGTCTAGAGAATTGGCTCTGGACCCTGCTTGTCCTTTAAGCCTCAATGCAGTCTTGAACAACGCAGTCAAATTCAATTGGTAAAATGAGATTATTAGGCTGGGAATTCTAGGACCCCATCGAATTTTACCATTGGAGCTCACAAATTGCTGCTGTCATCTGTGTCAAGGAGTAGCAACTCAGTGGCACTAACTTTTTAAAGTCCTTTATGGCCATGGTCCCTCTCACTGCAGTTACCACAAAGATCATAATCAAATCCCAACTTGAGGGCCCAGGAGAGGTGATCAGTGTTGAAAACAAATACTGATGAGTCTATACTAATGGGTGCTGGAGGCTCAATGACCTTTTCAATGATAACTTTCAACTTGTCCTAGAAATAGCCACGGACCTTTCAGTTTCCAAAGGCTTTGCTTAAGGTAAAGGAGGATATCTCTGTTCATATAAAAGGGTACTCCAAAAAGCAGATCCTGAAGGGAGGTTTGTGTGCCGGAAGTTTGTATGAGAGAGGATGGGAAGCAGAGGGAAGGGAGTGGGAGGAGGCCAGGCAAGGAGGGTGGGAGAACATGAGCTGTCTAGATGTCTTCAAGGTGGGTGAGATGACCTCGGACGTAGCATAGAGGATCGTCAGTGGGAAGATCTGTGAGTGGAGCACTTAGCGACTGGTCTCTGGCTCCCACTGCTTGCAGTCGTCCTGTGGGCAGTGGCCATCCTGCACTTCTGCGCTGTTCTTATGTGCAGGCCCAGCAGTCTCCTGTGGTGTGGGAGAAGTTCTAGGGAGACTGCAGAAGGCATGTGGCGTACCCTGGGAATGCTGCTGCATCGTCTGCCTGGTGTTACTACCGCTATAGCTCAAGGTAGAGAAGTGGGATGAGGGTGGGACACCATCTCCAGACAAAGGAGAGAAGCCTTAGACAGGTGGAGAGACAGAGAGGAATCTGGGATCACCTCCTTGAGGTCTCTTAATTTATTCTTCTGCCTTGGCAAATCTGGGTGGAATCTAGCCTGTGGGTAACTGAATCCATATGGAAGACTCCGAGTGGAAGGACTCGGTGACCTCTCCCCCGAGAGCTGCAAGCTAGCAAACCTGGTCAAATATTAATTTAGTGGCTCAAAAAAGGCATCTCTGATGAATGAAGGCAAGGTTTTATGTAATTAGTGCACAATAAAAAGCAATGATGGCAAAGTCCATGGCCTCCCACACTCTGGCATAGTGCATAGCGCAGGACGCGGCACGCTAACCACAAGGTATATCTCACTTTCGGAGGCTGTGGTTCAAAAACTACAAAAAGAATCTCCCAGCCTCAAAGACTGACAGGCAGAGCAGTCTAGTAGCAGGACAGAGTAAGGGAGAAAGGGCTCCGTCGTATGTCCCCTGCCCAGTGTTCCCAGGACCAGCATCTGGATTACCTTAGGGATGTAGGGGAAATTTAACTGAGTGTGAGTGGGAAACAGAAATGAGATTTAAAGAAATGAAGACTTCGAAGCAAGTGATACTCCTGATTTTTTTCCCTGTGCAGTAGGAATGATGCTGAAACTCCTCAGCTTATTGGGAGGAATCGGTGGCCCATGTGGGAGACAGCTCTATAAGCTCCAAGATATCCCAAAGCATCACAATTAATCCAGAAGCTGTTTCATTTTAAATTATAAACACTAATCCACTCATTAAAAAAAGGAAGTACTCTGTATCTTATCAATGTTGAATGCAAACAATTCTGAAGGGTCCAGCAAGGATCAACAATGTGTACATGAATTTCTGGGCATCTTAAGGAGGGAACCATGTGCTCTGTCTCACCTTGGCACGATCATTGCTGACAGTGGCTTTGGAATCCACATTTTTATTATTGTACCTAACAGTTTTCCGAAGGCCCACTCTGTGAGGACCACCAAGTAGCAGAAGGCAGGTGCCACAGGTGCCGTATAATCTCGTTCACTCACGTTCCATTTTCTTTGGCTATTTCCTGTTGTTTTATGTGTCCCCTAGCTTATGCCCATTTTCTCTGGGCATGCTGTATTTTTATTAGAAGATACTTGCATTAAAATCTGGGGGTTTTTTTGCCCATGCTGTGTGCTTAAATTAGAAGAATCTTCCAGATGTTACAGAATTATCCAGATGCTTTTAAATGCAATTAAAAGTCTTGAGATGAAGTTTTGTAGAATGTTTCTGACATTTGATTTCAGGTATTTTTCCAGCTCACTTAGCTCAACTCAAATAAAGGTGGTTCTGACCTACTGGGTGAATTAAAGCTAGAAGTTTCCAGAATATGGAAACCTTCCATTTATGTTGACAAAATGGAGCTGTTTTTAAAAGCACACTTGAAGTATTTGATCACTATTGGTTCTTATCAACATCTCTTCCACAGCTTTAAGCATTCTCTAAGGTTTGTGTTATTTGCTATGGCTTTGAGTTTTGTTTTCTCAAATTGTCTAAGATCTGGTGCTCTTGATAGTGGAGTAAAGAAATGAGGAAAGGAAGAAATATTGAAGAAGGCTTTCCTCATTACAAAACAGCTTACTGCTGATTTTAGATAGGGCATGCCTAGTTGGGTAAAGGTGTGCCTCAGGATAGAGGCCTAGAGCCAAGTTTGCCAGCTGGCGGGAGATTCCAGTGAATTCTGGAGCTGAGCTTTCAGCCTGGCAGGCTAAGGAATGACGCTCAGGGCCACCAAGCTGAGAAAGTTGGGTCACAAATTTATGAAGTTACAGTGAGTAGAAGAATCGTAACACTAGCCCTTCCATCAGGGCTCCCCATGTGTCAGACTTCTTGTGAAGTACATTTTAGATTAATTGGCAGATTTCCTGGTTCAGTCCAAAGTCTGCTGTTCCATCTGTGATCTTAGGCAAATTCTATACTATTTTGCAATTTGCTTGCTTTCTAGTGCTCAGGAGAAATCAAGACACTTCATAAGGATCTGTGCTCTATTTTCCAGTGATATTAATTGGCACAGCCCTTCTTTACAATAGATGTTCTTTATGGTGAAAAAATGGACATTTACACATGTAGGAAAATCTGTCCAACATTCCATTA